AAAAGAAATTAGTATCTATCAAAGCACAGTCCCAAGCAACACGGAGTTGGTTAGCGTACCGTAGTACATCTTACTGAAAAAGGGAAATGATATGCAAGATCAGAAAATTCAAACATGTACCAGAAGCCTACGCCCAAAATGTATTTCGCTGAATAATCGATTTTCAAAACATGTCGGTTCAAATGCAAGTTCTTGCCATTAGGAATTACTCACAGTGTCTATTGTCGTAGTGTTCAAATGAGCATCCACAATGGTGAAACGACCTCCAAGGAGGAAAAGGTAAACAGTCACAAATAAGGTGGAGAAGTTCGCTGAATCATAAATGACAGAAGTGGTGGCCATGGAAACTTTCTTCAGATCTTCAACGTTGGTGTAGCTCTTACGCCTCATGTTCATCTTCCATTTAATCTTATTATCTGGGCGATAACTAACAAAATTTTCAAACAACAACAAATCAGTCATCTTGTAGTCTTAACAATCACAAGTTAAGGGAAAGAAGATTTTTGATCCATAAAGCACACAGTTTTTCTCATGTATAAAATAGTAAATAGCTGAGCAATATTACCATCTTGATCTTCGCAATTCTCTTTTCAAGAACTAATTTTAAAAAGTGATGATTTTGAAACGTGAACTACAAACTTGGTATTATAGATGATACATAAATAAACAAAAGCAAAATACTAAGATTTATATGTATTTTGTAGAGACGAAGGTGATGGAAAAAAGAAGCTAAAAAAGGACCTTATCATGGGTTTGCCTATGATTTGCATGGGTGCTTGTTTATGAGTCGACATTAAGTGATGAATCCAACGACCCGGCTCTCAAATATTGGACTGAGCTATTGTACCAATCGACGCGTCAGTCGCCATTCCGGCGTGGCGTAATCTCCTATCAGACTGTCGTTGAGATAAAGACGAACTTTGTGACTTCCGGCATTCTTCGGTGGTGCTTTTCCTTCCCCTTCGCAATCGATTGGGTCCATGGCGATAAGGACCCCTAGGTGAGATCCGACGCTCTGGTGGCGCGTCGAAAGTACGGTGGTCGTGCTTGGTTAGAGGACGACGGGGCGCATTGAACTAAGGAAACAGGCCGATGTGTAATAAAATTTCAGGCCCAAAAGTCTTAAAATAAAGCACAATCGAGACAAATCCCATACGCAGCAGCATCAGTCCGATGATGTGGCAAAATAAAACCTTCTCATTCGTTTGGTTTTCCAATCTTACGTGGACAGTCTTATTGCTCTAGAATAAAAGCTTTTAATATTGTTAGGTTCGCAATCGATTGGGTCCATGGCGATAAGGACCCCTAGGTGAGATCCGACGCTCTGGTGGCGCATCGAAAGTACGGTGGTCGTGCTTCGTTAGAGGACGACGGGGGCGCATTGAACTAAGGAAGAAGGCAGATGTGTAATAAAATTTCAGGCCCAAAAGTCTTGAAATAAAGCACAATCGAGAAAAGCCCATACGCAGCAGCATCAGTCCGATGATGTGGCAAAATAAAACCCTCTCATTGGTTGATTTTCCAATCCTACGTGGACAGTCTCATTGCTCTAGAATAAGAGCTTTTAATAGTGTTAGATTAGATGATAGGTCACTTGTGTCTACCTAGACACTTTTGTTAACTAAACCACACGAAAATTCCAACTAAATTAACTAGAGCAACTTTATTAGAGTAATCAAAATCATGTGATCTGGCCCACAACAATTTTAAAGTAGTTTGTTTCTTCTTTGTGTTCAATTCGTCGTAAACAAAGCCGTGGTTTAAAAAAGTAAGAAATTGATGAGTTTTGTGATTTTTTTAAAAAAAATTGGATCTGATTAGAGCCTTTGTAATCATAATCAAACTCTCTGTTAGGAAACTGTGTTCATGATGACGAAGAAAGATCTTGCCGTCTTGACCATCTTCAGATCGAAAAGCTTGAGAAGTCCTCCAATGGTGAATTTTTAATTATTTACACAATTTGGTCCTCATAAATAAGTTGTTTACAAATCGGCCCCAAAATTTACACTCTGAGAAACATCATTTCGAACCAGCCTAGACTTTCACATTCTGCATTTCAAACTTCTCAAAAATTGCACTAGGGGTCCTCAGAATCTTAGATTATTTTCACTTCGACCCATACACTTTCCATTATGCATAAATATCCTCTTGATTTTGTCATAAACTTCAAAATGTGAATTCTAAACCCTGTCAAATGTAAATGTAAAAGTATATACACTATATACGTGAATCATTGTAAAGAATTTATATTCTTCTTCAATAATGCCAAAGTTTCATTTTGTAAATAAACAGTCTACAACTTGTCAAATGCAAATCTACAAATGCATGCCAATGTTTTATTTAATAAATAAATTAAATTTCTTTTCACTAAATTAAGATTTTAAGATCATGAGATATCAAAATGGAGGTAATGGATTTGTCTAAAAATTAAAATGAAATATAAAGTGATCTATATTAACAAAAAAAGATACTCTAAATTATCTAAATGAAACCTAAAATGCATCTACCAAATTTACCATGTGTACAAGTTAACTGGTGTACATATTAATTATTGTACATGTGGATAGTGAATATTTCGTGTACACCTTCATATACATATAAATGTACATGAAACATATACATACATATGTATTGTAAAAGATTTGTCTAAAAAATAATTAAATTAAGATGGTAAAATCCAGTTAAATTCAATATACACACCTAAATGAAATAAAATGATCTAAATTAACAATAAATATACTCTAAATTATATTAATATAACCTCAAATGTATCTACCAAATTTAGCACATGTACAAATTAACTAGTGTACATATGAGTCATTGTACATGTGGATAGTGAATATTTCGATGTACACCTGATCATATACATATAAATATACATGAAACACATATGTATGTACACATTGTACATGTTATCATAACTTATGTAATGTATAGATATGCCAATGTACGTGTGATTTTCTATGAAACATTGTGCATGTGTACAGTAAAATGTTTTTGTACACATTGACAATATTTGGCATTTAAATATTTAAATTTGAAAACATATATAACATATTTAAAAGATGTAAAAATTAAATTGTGTAAATATTAATTAAAGTGAATTATTGTATGTGGATATGATCAATAGATTTATGGATATAGTGTACATATAGATTTACAAATGTATAACAATTTTGAAGTTCCATTACAAGGTAAAAAATATGTTTTAACACAATTTGTCAATAAAATTTAAAACCTTTTATTATACTCTATTCTGATCAATATCATTACAAATTAATATTCTTAATAGTAGCTAATTAGAAATGGAGCTGTTTAATTGTGATCATAAAAGGTATGAAAAGGAAAACCAAACAGTAGGATGTATATTGTAGAAGTTCGATTGCACAATTTCAGATTCAGGGAAATTAGAAAGGATGTATGTGCAAATTTGATTGTTTAGGCCAAACTAAGAATAACCTAAAATTAAGGGATCAAACATGTAAAAACGTGAGAGTGTGCCATTGTTGCTCAAGTTTCATTGTGAGATTGAATTAGGGGCCACTGCAGCGAAATCTGAACATCACGACTACCATAAGCTACTAACACAGTAAGAAGGAGATGAGTTGCAGTACACAACGTGGCGGAAGACGAAGAAGGAGACGAACCACGACGGCTTGGCAATCGAGTTTGACTGAAATTGCAGGTGGTCACAGAAGAAGACCAAGAATCATGACAAAGATGAGCATAATTTTCAAAGACATAAAATGAATCGTAGGTGTTGAGTGTGAAAACAAAAGAAAACATAGAAATGAAGAAAGAGAAAGGGAAAGAGTAACAAAAAACAGAAAATATTCTTAAAATATATAAAAAAATTATTTAGTTAGGAATCTTCTTTAATTAGTTTTCTTTAGCAATTTATCAGATAAAATATTGAATTCTAGTTGGAAAAAGTGTCTATGTAGCAAAATGTGATCTATACTATGATAAAAATCTTAAAAGTGACTTGTAGTGTAAAACACTCGTTGGAATAAGGCATGCTAAGGTGTACTGATACGAGTCATTAGCTCTGCAAAGAGCTTATAGCAAGCCAATAATCCGCCACTACGTATATAAATCCGTATTAATCTAACTTGAGCCACAAACATTATAATTACAAAATTAGAGAAATCAAAATTTATATAATAAATTATAAGTATTTACTTTTATAATTTTCTCAAAATGTGAAATATCCTTCATATAATAAATTATAAGTATTTACTTTTATAATTTCTCAAAATGTGAAATATCCTTCGTTAATAAACTAATTCATAATATTTGTTTTCAAAAAGAAAATTCATCATATTGATTTTGCAAAATATTTAGGATCGAACTTGAAACCTCACCTCTGCTAAGAGAATTTTTGTTCAGCCAGTTGGGCTGCTTGTATTCGGTAGTTTCCCCTTCCATGCATCGTGAATATTAAAATTAAAAATAATTTGTGTTTTTAAAAAAGTTTTTTTTTTAACACTGATTAATTATGCATTATAAATTATGAGAAATATTACCTAAAATATATTATCGCCGACAATTCTACCTGTCTTATGTGGATTCACGTCTGACTGCATCATCCTGAGCCGCCTTATGAAATCCATTCCTGCCGGTACTCCTTGTGCCATACTGAAGATCTGTTGTAAGTTTTTTTCCAATAATCTAGATAATTCGCCATTCAATTTTTCTGGAAATTGAAATCCTTTTGATATAGAAACTGTGTAGCCTAGAATTCGAACTCCAAACCTGGTGTACAAGTCTTTAAACCTTAACCACTTAGCCACGGTGCTTTCACCAGTTTTTTTAAAGTTTACAAACAGAATTGGAAAGTCTTTAAGATACTAAACAATTAAATCAATAAACACACAGTTCCTATATTACGGCTTTAAAGTCTCTTCGTCGCACATGTTCTAAATAATTAAACAAAAACTATCATCTTTTCTCTTCTATAAAGCCCACATCTTCTTATTTTCTTGAATTCACAAGTCTCACAACTCATCCTTTCTCTATCTACACTTAACTAAAAAAATCAATTTCTCACTCTATCTCTCTCTTCAGAAAACCACATAAAAAGGGTAGAAAGTGCATATATTTTTGCTCAAGCATCTCTTTTGTGGGTCTCTTCTGTGTGTATCAATGGATGAGAAAGGAAGAAGTTTCAAGAACAACAACATGGGAGACGAAATGGAACTGAAGAGAGGTCCATGGACTGCAGAAGAAGATCTTAAGCTCACCAATTACATTGCTACTCATGGAGAAGGTCGATGGAACTCTCTTTCTCGTTGTGCAGGTATGCTTCATTTCATATATATATATATAATATATACATATTATATATATATATATATATATATATATATATATATATATATATATATATATGTTCTACTTCTTTGTGCACCATTTGTCTAAAAGAGTCGGGCAAGTTGCATAACATAACATAATTAAGCCCTTTTTCAAAAAAAAAAAATTGCATAACATAATTGATGGGTTCACTTTATGTTCAATCCTTTTCATGTTTCAGTCACGATGTGTGTGATTGTGTTTTTTTTCTTAAGATAGCCCATTCTCTTTATGCATAGGTATGAAACAAAAAGTGCATACTTCTCACGTTTCTTTGATTTTCACTTTTTCTTATTATTTCAATAATAATTTCATTCATATAAATAAAATATTGATTAATTTAGTGAGATTTTTAAGCAGTGGGTTCAATTCTCAACCATCTCAAATTTGCAAAAAATATCCAAATTTGGTTATTGAAAAGGGTGAAAAAGAAAGAGGAACCAAAGGGAATTAATGATCATCATCTATATGGAGAGAGCACTAACTCAATGGAAGAAAGCTTGAAGAACAAGACTCTTTAGGACAATTTGCATTTTGCATCATAGTATAGTACGGTCCATTGTTTTGTTGTTGGGAGTTTCTCTATAACTTTACCAAATATGAGACGTTATTCTAAAGAGTTTCTTCCGTATGAAAATCATCATAATACGTATACACGACCGACCGGTAAATTAAACATCATATATACTTTTCTTACCAATGAAACAGGACTCCAACGCACCGGTAAAAGCTGTAGACTACGGTGGCTTAACTATCTCCGCCCTGACGTACGCCGTGGAAACATAACCCTAGAGGAACAAATTCTGATCCTCGAACTTCATTCCCGTTGGGGCAATCGGTATGTTCTAAATTTTAATTTTGTTTTGTATCGTTTCATGAGCTATACTTTTCCTGCACACAAAGGCATCGTTTTAGGCTCCTTTTCTATACAAATAAAGTTGATATTTCTAACAAATTGACCATTTATAATATTCGTATTCCAGATAAATTATATACTATTTTCATTTTTTTTTTGTAATCAAACTGTATACGCAAAAGAAAACAACACTATTTTCTTTAGAAGGAGATGTGATCAAACTTATGTGACTTTATATATCGATGTTCATGGGTACAAAAAACTACATATATGATATAACATCGAGATATCAAATAGTAACGCATGCAATAGCCAATAAGAACTTAAACGTTTTGTTATCAGTATATAAGCAATTAATTACATTTATGTGTGTATGTTTATAATGAATAGATGGTCAAAAATCGCACAATATCTACCAGGAAGAACAGATAATGAGATCAAGAACTACTGGAGAACACGAGTGCAAAAACATGCAAAGCAGCTTAAATGCGATGTCAACAGCCAACAATTCAAAGACACAATGAAGTATCTATGGATGCCTCGGCTTGTCGAGAGGATCCAATCCACGTCGGCCGCATCAGTAACCACGACCACAGGATCAGCCACCACGTCATCTTGCATCACAACCCCTAACAATCAATTCATGACATATGATTACAACAGTATGGGACAACGACATGATGCAACGCCCGAAAACTCCAGCGTTGCAGTGTCTCGGGTGTCAGACTTGACGGAGTACTACATCACTCCGAACCCGAACCCGGAATACTATTCGGGTCAAGGGGAGAATAGTTATTACCCGGATAAGAATTTGGTAGGTCCAGAAATGTTACTGGATAATTATTCTGATTATGCTGGATTACTAGAAGAACATTTAACAGCTATGCAGGAGAGTAACCTCGACTGGTTTGAAAATATCGATGGGACTGTTTCTTCTTCTTCAGACACTTTATGGAACATCGGAGAAAGTGATGAAGACTTATGGTTTTGTCAGCAGCAACAACAGCTCAACAACAACGACAACTTCTGAGCACAGATTAAAAACAAACAAACTATAGTAGATTCGTTAAGTATGTGAAAGGCATTCGTTCAAGGGTGTAATTAAAGATAAGGACTGTGTTTACAACATTTAATTATCTTATATGATCAGCTTTTTTATTACAAGCTTGATCATATATCATGGCGTTTTAACAAATCGCTCAATTTATTTGATTTTGTCTTTTAAATTTTTGGATTCTAATGATATTTTGTAGATAACTCATGAATATGAATGAAAAATTTATATGATTTATTTTAAGATAACAAAGAATTCATCAGTGCTAATGTGCTATATACTTTTAAACATAAATAATTGAAATTGTTTTCACGCTATAGATTGACTGATTTCCTTAATGGAAGCATAAGACAAATCATTATTCATATAATTACTAATATCTCGACGAAGAAGCTCATAATTGGTTCCACCATGTTCTGTATTTATCCCCAAGTGTGACAAAAACAAACAAAACAACACATCAGAAAATATTTTTAAAAGATATACAGTATTGACTTGAGTACTATAAATTGGATAATCCAAAACTATTATTGCTTTTTAGAAAGTATGTCTATAGGGCATGTATATGGGAAAGAAAAGTAGTTAGTGTGTGTGAAAGCCTTTCTTTCGAAAGAAGACATTTTTTTGTTCAAATCAAAAGAAGACATTTAAAAATTGAATGTTTTATTCTGAACACCACGTGGTGAAAGTTCTTTGGCTCTGATCTAGGCTTCGGTTTTAAGGTGGACATAGGTTTATCCATTGAAAGTTAACTGTTTGTTGAAATATATGCTAAAGTGACGATAACCTACCACTAAATATATCCAAAAGGCTTAATTAATTATTGGAAACCTCATTATTGTACCAGACCGTTACACCATTATCCAGACAAAAATCGTGTCCTTACTCTGCAACACGTATTATTGCTTGAAGAATCAATGGTACACATGAACTAATTAATATCTACTCGAACAAACCACTAGACAATGCATCTCTTGCTTTGATCACATCATTAATATTGGTAAATAGTTACACATCTTCTCAATGTAGTTATATACATTAGTGTGTTGAAAAATGAATATAGTTATTAGTTAAACAAGATTAATGAAAATCAAGATAACAAATTTGTATACTTTGACAGGACATCCAGTTGACATTAATGTTTTATTAGATACAGTATTTACGTAAGCTTTAATCTCCATTTTTTTGCAGTCAACCATTACTTGTGAACCGTTAAAAAAACTTCCGTTGAAGTCGTTTTCGTTCTATACTCAACTTGGTCCTTTAAGCAATACTACGGCTTTGCTCACTTTTTCTTATTGAGTGGAATATCTTCTAAACTCAAATATTGATTACACACGTATTACATAAGGTATATATGGGGCACATCTTCTGGCACGTGACTGAATAGAGAAAATGCACGTGATTAAAGTAGTGAAGGTGAGGGAGGAGGACTTAACAAGGTGCTGGCGGCTGAGAGAATTTATTTTCGTAGGCGGTGTGTATGGTCAACAAGCAAGCCGACGCCTAAAAGCCAACCTTAGACTGGTCGCAAAATATGAAGATCTCTATTCACCAAAAAAATCTTTATCAAACTTTATCCAAAATGACTCCTATACTGAAATTTTGACGCTACCAAGTCTTAATTTTAGTCATCATCTTCTCATCTAAAAGCAAGTATTCTAACGGTTAATAGTTTCAATCTGAGATGAATGGACGAAGAGATTCATATTGGATTCAAGAGCATGTACTTAATCAATTTTCATTAAATGTGAGAAAATAATTATACTCATTATATCCAATGACATGAGCCATTCTACTTTATAAATTTTTGATTTAGCTATTAATATTATAATAAGTTGCATGTTTATTCTTGTTCCGATGCATAATAAATTTTTGATTTTCAGAAACAATGGAGTGGATGATAGCACACATCAAGTTTGACAATGGTGGATTAAGACGAATTCATTTACTTTTCCTGAAATCCTCTTGGACTAGTGGCTTGCAAAACGTGCTTGGCTTTTCATTAGCATAAGATTTTGTAATTCAAAGTTCTCCATTCCTCTGTGTGGAGCATAATACATGTGGTTTCAGACTAAAAAGAAAAAAAAATTATTAACTTTTCACAAGCAGCAAAACTTTTCAGTTTTCGTATGTGGCTATGTATGATTTTTTTTTTGTAACACGTGGCTATGTATGATATATGGTATATTTACTTATTCTAATATTATGATAAATGTTTAATGTAATATTTGAATTTTTTATTTATCTACTGATTATTTATATTACTATACATTTTCAGATCATGATTAATTTAGTTTTCCCTTTTTATTTTTATTTTTTTATTTTTTTTGTTATTTTGTATATTTAATTTTTTTGTTGTTATATCAAATGATAATATTACGATAAACGTTTAATATAATATTTATATTTCTTATATTGTATTATTTATTTTATATTGTATATTTACTTATAAAGTATTTGGAAATAATAAAATTGTAAAAGTATACATTTTTTTACATATATTCTTAATGTAGTTTTTTCATTTCTTATATTGTATATTTATTTATTATTTATTGTTTCTTATATTAAATATTTACTTATTCTAATTTTTGTTTTTATATGCAATGGTAAATATTATGATAGATGTTTAATGTAATATTTTTATACTTAAAAATGTATATTTACTTATTATTTTGATATACATTTTCAGATAGATGTTTAATGTAGTTTTTCTTATTTTTTGTTGTATATTTACTTATCTTAATTATAATATTATGATAGATGTTTAATATAATATTTTTATTTCTTATATGTATATTTACTTATTCTATTATTATGATAGATGTTTAAAGTAATATTTATATTATCATATTATATATTTACTTCCTATTAATTTTACTATACATTTTATATATTAACTTATTTTAATATTTTGATAGATGTTTAATGTAATATTTAATATTATGATATTATATATTTACTTATTTTAGTAATAAGATAAATGATTTATGTAATATTATTTTTATACTAAAACTGTATATTTACTTATTATTTATTTTAATATACATTTTTCAGAAAAAATTTACATTAGTTTTTCCTTTTCTTATGTTGTATATTTACTTATTTTTTATGTTGTATATTCCAGCTAAACGAGCTGCCATTTCTACACTGGAAGTCTTGGCTAGCAAGCTTCCCTCTGGTCATCCGATCTTCAGCAAGTGTCTTGCATCCGTTGCAGAAGGCATCAGCTCAAAGAATCTGGGAGTTTGTTCAAGCAGTCTTCGTACAACTGGTGCGCATTGATCAATGTTCTTGGACCAAAGGCGCTTGTTAAACTTCCACGCATAATGAAAAATTTGGTACAACAATCTCGCGAAGTGTCAACTGGAAACGCAACAGCCGAGGAACAGTTGGTGATGCTTTCTATTCTAGTCACGTTGGAAGCTGTGATTGATAAACTTGGAGGTTTCCTAAATCCTCATCTTGGGGATATCATTAGACTCATGGTTATGCATCCTAAATATGTTTCTGACTTTGACAAGAACCTTAAGTCCAAAGCCAATGCCATTAGGAGTCTCCTTACTGAAAAGAATATCAGTGACTTATTCACATAATATATGAATTTGTTTTTGCTTGTAGTAGCGATTTTAATACTTATCACCTTCTTTCAGGTTCGCCTCACTCTACAACCTCTTCTACGAATATACGATGAGGCTGTTACTTGTGGCGATGCAAGTTTGGTGATTGCTTTTGACATGCTGGAAAACTAACCATGCAAAGATTTCCGACCAATGCTTGTTGCCCTAGATATTCAACGCCAAAATCCTCCAACAATTCAGAACGTTAATGATGCGGAGAGAAGTGTAATCAGTGCGACGGTTACACTCACAAAGAAGCTAACTGAGTCTGAGTTCAAAACACTCTTTATCAGAAGTATTGATTGGGCAGAGTCAGATATTGTAGATGGATCTGGTAATGAGAACAAGAGTGTCGACAGGTCTATCTCTTTCTATGGTCTAGTCAATAGACTCTGTTCACAGTCACATGTGAGTAAACGCTGCGATCCTCTTTACTTAAGCTTCTTGAATATTGGGAAATTAACTTCGATTTTTCTTGTTGTGGAATGTAGGTCGATCTTTGTACCATACTTCAAGTTCATGCTTGATAGTATTGTATCGCATCTCATTAGGGCTGGAGCATCAGTTTCAACGAGGAAGAAAAAGAAAGCCAAAATTCAGGAAACGGATGAACCTATACCACCAAAAAGCTGGCATCTTAGGGCGTTGGTGCTTTCTTCTTTGAAGAACTGCTTTTTGCATGATACTGGAAGCTTGAAGTTCCTCGACGCAAATAACTTCCAGGTCACTTATCTTATGACCTTTCATGTCTGCTTGGATCTAACAACGTGTATCCCTTTTTCTTGGAGCGTTAGATTTTTTTGATACAAAATGTATTCTTCTCCACATGTACCATCTGTAGCAGAGCTTGATGACTAGTTGGTTTCATGCATTGGTCAAATGGCAGTAGTCTCGAGCTTCGATCTCCTCTGGAAACCGCTGAACCACGAGGTAAACAACATTCATAATGGTTCACAACAATAATTTTTTGGTTTAGTCGTCTTAAAAATTAATATTTTTTGGTTCATGTGCTAATGCAAACAAGGAGTGAGAAGTTGCGTGCGAGGATGTTGAGTTTGAGGAGTGTGAAACAGATGATGGATAATCTGAAAGAAGAGTATCTCGTTTTGCTAGCTGAGACCATACTATTCTTGGGTGAACTACTAGAAGACGTTGATCCGTCAAATTGTTGTCTCAAGAGATCATCACACAGTTGGAAGAGATGAGCGGTGAAGATCTGGCGCAACACCTCTGAGAATACTCTGTTTGCTACAAAAGTTTAGTTTCCCAATTTTGAAAACTCTGTTGACTACAAAACTTTAGATTCTCAATGTTGGCATCTTCTCTGTGTTGGTAACTAATTGAATATGAAATATTGTTTGTTTATGGCAAATGGTTTTGAGTTCCCTTGATAATACATTTATAGTCTAATATAATATGATATTCTTCACATAGTGGAATAGTAAATGGGTAATAAAACTAATAGTTTCATTCATCAATCTTCTATTTCAACACCACCATCGTTTTCCTCTGTTATTTTATAAAATAAATATATGAAAATTTTGCAACATAAAGATATAAGGGTTGCACAAACATGTGTGTGTTGTATGTTTGAAGGTCAAGATATTGCCACATTATTAACTTACAATGGTTGAGACGATGAGAAGTTAACAATATATATCTTTATGAAGACAATGAACTAGATACAATATTGCTTTCATATACCTCCTATTTTAGTCATGGTATATATTACAAATCAAACAAATACTCATACAACACACATGCCTGTGCAACCCTTACATCTTACAAAATAAACATGTTTTTAATTTTTCATAAATTGTATGGACCTTTTGTAGGAACATAAGTTTTATAGAATTTTATGTGCTCAAAGAACATACCAATGTTGGAATATTTTAAGTTGCAAAACAAATAATTAAATAATATAGTTTTGATTGTCTGAATACACTTTTTGTGCAAGATTATAGGATAATTTACTTGCTATTAACAAACTATTATCCCTTAGAAATAAGTCTTGATATTAAATTTATCTTTAACTAATAGATTAAATTTATAATACTTCAAATACAATTACATGTTGAATCATCTAAAATTTAAATGACAACATTTTATCCGTAGATAAAATAAGACTCTAAATTAATAGAATAGAATCAATAGATACTCAACAAAGCTAATACAAACCACATTATTCTAAATGAAACAAACTAACGAAAATGATGAACGATTTAATAAAGACCTAAGTCTTCCATTTGGTAGTCACAATCATGAGTGCATGGGTACAATGATTGACAAGCCCAAATGTAGGGTAATAGGTGGTAGACCTTTAGATTGTGCAGATGTTATCTTTTCAAATCGGATTTTAGCATTTCTGAACAACACCAAAATAAGCATAGAGAAGTAGGTGGATAAAATCCCACCCGAGTGCTTAAACTTAGTCACTATCTCGAGTTTTGCAGAGATCATCACTGTGATATCCAAAAGGCTGTCAGTAATATACAACACATCGTGTAAGTTCAACAACTTGCATAGGGTGGCAACGTGTAGATAATAACGCGCCGTTGGTGAAGCCGGTGATATTCTTAACCTTTTCAAGGCTGTTTCCGAAAAAGACAAAGACACGTAGAACGACTATGATGCTGGTTGCATGAATACAAAAGAGGATGATGTGGTATCAGATACGAACTGATCAACATAGAAACCAATATTTATCTTTGTCAAAGTCAAAGTTTCACGATTTGAAGTTGCAAGATGCACAAATATGTACAAGATTACGGACCATCCTTTTGCGATCCAGTTCATCCCCAAAACAACTATAGACGGATTTATGGACAATGCTCTTGTGATCAACCTCCAAAAATTCATACTTAAGAAGTTTGACCATCTCCAAGCTCTTGCAAGCACAAACTTAGAACTCTTTAGTTAGTTTCCCAAGTACGTTTCCTAATTTATATTTTTAATTATTCTATATGATTTGGTGATGAAACCTGAAGCTGTTCATCACATGGCAGATGTTGTTGGGAAAATTGGTTGTGTCCAAGGTTCTGACCTTAAGGACGCTGAAGTTATGACTCGACTTTTGGTATGTTTTGTCGTTGAACCGTAAGTCTATGCAACTCTAATTTTTACAACTCTTTTACACATGGCATCCTCATTGTAATAAGTTTTTACAACTCACATAACATGACGGTGGTGGTGTACTTGCCTTTATGGGATGATGCTGCAGAAATGCTTAGGGGTCTCATCAACTCAGGTGATAGAATCCAGTCTGTCATGGTGGTTACTACGGTCAAATCCAAAATATTTGGAGGTATATTATATCTGAAACTTAGATACCATACTGAGCTCGGTTTTGTCAATGCATATATTCGGGAGTTAAATTTTTCTACAACCCATTATCTACTAAACACTCTTCATTCCGCAGGTAACCTGTACCTCAACTCAACCTCAGCAACAAAATTTTATTTCGACACTAACCTCCCAGCCATCACAGAGTTCACAGCCAGGTAACAACTCATTAGGTGTTGTTGTAGAACCAAAATTTAATCGGGTATAGACTTATCTGATGATACCATCTGCGTCCAGCTTAGGCGGTCTAGTAGGAGAAACTTTCCCCTGTATCGATGCTAAGAAAGGGATCAAAAAGAAAGAACTTGTCTCAGTTGAAGATCTAAAATTCATCTCCAATTCTGACGAGCACGTAAAATTCATGGTTCCAACAAAGTTTTAAATGTATTTAAACCTTGAAATTTGAATTATTAAATAGTTAATTTATTGTTTCGATGAAGACACATGAAGCTGATTTTATTTGCAAGGCTCGGATTGTTGAGGTCCTGCAACAAAATGGCTGGCCCTTTGTCTCTTGATTGTATGCAGCAGGAAGCTAGACAAATCTGGCACTTCTCCATTGCAACTACTGTGTTAATCCCAACGTCACCGGTGTTATAAAGTAAGAAACGATCATACTCATATAAATAAAATAAGACACCATTTTAGCATTACGATTACTTATGTCAACGTTTATTATAGGTATCGTGTTGAATTATCAGTTGATGATGAGAATGATAATGACACTTTGTGGTGTTTGACAAAGAGATGCTTAACCTCACTAAGCAATATGTAACTGCTCTGACTCTTGATAAGATTTGCTATTTAGTTTGCACTGGATTTGTGCAGCGTATACAATTGTAAAAATATTTGCGCATGCTACTAAACTCTTCAACCTACTGAAAATGAATGATGGTGGGGCCAGGAACTCACACAATGCCTTGAAGAACTTGCTGAAAAACATTTTATTTATCAGATTCGTGTGACGCCATACAATTTTACCCCAAACCATCACAAGTTCACTGTTTCTGCAATCAGTGACCACATTAACCCCAAGATATTATAATATATAGTTTCGAAAACTTTATCATCTAACTCATGTTATGTTAGAATAACTCATGTACAACAGTTTCACAGACTTTCAACACCAATGAAACTCCATTTGTTGAAGGGGAAGGTGGCCAAGCATCTGCCTCTGCCAACAACAAGGTTAGAGGTCAAGGCGATGAACCAAATCCACCTGGTTTTGAAAGCAAAGAGGGTGACAAACGTCTCCGTGAGTGAAGTTTCAAAGCTGTCAACACCTCAACCCCACTTTGTTTTGTCACTTTACAATTCTTAGAAGTATGCATCTCCAATTTTCAGACTTTACAATTTGACTAGATTTCTTAAATGGGCACGAGCCTATAGTACTCCCATTGATAATCTTGGTAGTACGCATTGTCACGAGCACTCACATGTACTGATGCGAAACTATATTTGTTTTAATACACATTAAATTTTTTAAATGGTCACGAGCCTATAGTATTCTCAGCTTTCATTACCAAATAATTATAAGACATTACAAAGAGTTAAAAAGAGTTACTACAAGTCATTTAAAAATGAAGCCATAAGTCATAACAATACAAGTCATTACAATACAAGCCATAAGTCATTACAATACACATGAAAACTAAAACAACAACCTTGATTACGCATGAAAACCAAAACAACAACAACCTTGATTACACATCACTATAACACCTCAAATCACTTCAATACGGTCACCAAACTTATTAGAACTAAAACAATGAGCATTACACCAACGAATACTTCAAACCCATGGATAAAACTAGATTTCTTCTTTGCTAAGTCACAAACTAACTTCTCTAGCCTAACCACTTTCTCCGCAGTCTCATAGTCACTCATAAAGGTGAGATTATCTACCTTTTCCTCCAATTGAAGTATGTGTTTATCCCTGGCCCTCATCTCCTCCATGACCGCGACATCCCACCATTTCCAGACATGGCATTCTACATCATCAACATGCTCGCAGGTGTAGTATCTTCTCCCTGGATCGTTTCTTGTGTATGATGTAGCTAGAAGAGGTTCACCACCAAAGTAGCAAGTCTGCGGGAATCCAAACTCGACCTTGGGTTGCGGAGGGTACTGAGTCATGTCACCGTAATTGAAGCTCAACTCAGTTTGGTCCCGACAAATAAGTTCTTCCGTCTCGCTGTACCCACTGTCAGCTATCTCCCCACCATACTCCTCTGAATCTGAAGGCTGGCTGTAGCTATATTGACGGCCCATTTTAAATAAACTACAAAAAAAAGTGACAACGTCAATATTAGATAGACATCTAATGAACCGAGACAAGTCTTTCACGAAAGGAGCAACATTTATTTCAGAAATATCAAGCAGAAATACATAGATAGCAAGCAGAAATACATTGACATAGAAGTTGCAAGCAGAAATACATTCATTTAAAAGTACCAAACAAAAATACAAGTCATTTAAAAAGTAGCAAGCAGAAACACAGAATTTTAAAGACATTTTCATAAAATAGAAACATAACAAAGCTATAATTCTCAGAAATACTGAGCGAGTAGCTTATTCTTGACAACTTCTTCAGCGTCACTTAATTTCTCTTTCATCATGGGATCCTCCTTCTTCATGTCCCAAATGCTCGTATACTCAGTAAGAGACTTTCCTTGAACATTATTCCTTTTAGCTTTAGCAGCCTTGATACCTTCGGGACGGACCTCATGATCACCAATAGTGGTGCTTGAAGTTTGTGAACATGTCTCTCCAGCTTTTCACTTTGAACTCCCACTAGGTTTAGGAGTGTTAAGGCTGAGCCATTTCTGCTCATACCTCAACACACACCACGCATGCTCAAGACTGAATTTCGTGTTGTGATCAGAGAAGAAGATGTCATGAGCCACCTTGAGAACATCATTGTCGTTCTGACCAGAACTGATCTGTCTCTCTGCTGCCGCATATGCACCACGAAATTGGTTGGTAGTCATTGATTTTGTGCCACCTCTGCTTACAATGAGGATGCTCTCTTGGTTCACAACTCTCTTTAACATGTGGACTTGATGCATAATACCCACCTACTCGTTTCCAGAAGGTCCCTGATTTTTGTTCATTTCCAACAACAGTATCCTTAGATGTGTTTAGCCACACACTTACTAAGACCTCGTCATCAGCTGGAGTCCATTTCCTGCTCTCCCTAGAGGCAACTGGTGGGTCTTCACGTACAGCTGGAGCGTCGGTTTGTTGTGAACTAAAAGGAGGGATCTCAGATGCTCCAAAATTTAGAGTAGAAGAATAACTTTCATAATGAAAGTTCTGACTGTGGAGAAGGTTGGCATAACTAGGAGACTGACTATATGGACTCAATGGATTCCTTGAATCCATAGGGATTAGAAGAAGAAGGGGATTATAAAGGAGAAAAGAGAAACCGGAGAGAAACAAGAGAGAAAGAGATTGCGACAACAAGAATGATAGCTTGTTGGGGTTTAATAGGTGAAAATAAGAACTAATAAGTAACAATCATAAAGACCTAACCATATACTACCAGGGTCTAATAAGAAGTTATTACACTCATAACTACCAAAAAATCAATCAAGTAACTAAAATATAATTTTCATTTGGTTAGAAACAAACTTCATTCCAATCACAATTACCCAAACAATAAACTTCTACTCGAATTTTTTGAAATAATTATATTAACCATCTTCTAAATTAAAGGCGACTTATTTCGAAACTAACTAGAAAACCAAACTAACTAGAACACTCAGTACAACGTCTTTCTTAAATGTCCACACCTACTTATCAGGTTACTATTCGCAAAATGATTACTCTAAAATAACTCAAGTCAATGATGAACCCATTGTATCCCAAAGAAAATCACCAGGTTACAAAACTACAACAGGGTTTAACTCCATCGACTAAGTACTCATCAAGAAAACGAATCCAAACATTGCCTTTCTAGCACTAATAACTAAAGCTACCCTAAGTTTCAATTAGATTTACTCAAAAAATTCACTAATCAATCGAGTAATTACCAGTCATACAATCCGTCACTTACCAAGCATACAATCAAACACATATCAGTATACAATCGAAAAGTCAGAAACAAACCATTAGAAACACGAACTATACAACCAAAACGTCAGAAACAAACCTTTCAAACATAGAGACGGAGACACATATAAGTGATTCCTCTAAATCGCAAACAGAGGACAGAGAAAGAAGACATACCTGGTTTCGTTTCGATTCGTAGCACAAGTGAGGTGAGATTCGTGTTGACTGAGCTAGTATAGAAGACGGCGGCTGAAATCACCGTCGTGAGAGAGAGAGAATAGGGAGACGAAGAGAATTAAGACTGAAACTCGACGGACCTTGATCAAACACCAAGCATGCAAAAACGAATCAAACCAAAATACGATCTTAGATCGACTAATGATTCTGATAATCACAAAAAGTTAGGTCAGAGAAGGAACACGTACCTGGTGAAGATTCGATGCGGCGGTCAAGCTTTGGATTAAACGAGAGATTGGTGTGGATTGCTACGATATTGCTTCGCTCATGAAATCGCTGTCTCTCGAGAGAGAAGAGGGAGACGATGAGAATGAAATCGAGACCAAAAGTCCACTTTGCACTAAGGTTAAGTTTCTGGACTGGTTTTCTGATACGCGTTGAAGTCCGAGTTGGTGCGGGTGGAATGGTCTCTGTTTGAGTTGTTGTATTCTGCACATGGGATTGATTTTGTGTCTCAGCGAGAACATTTGTGTCTGGAGCTGACGGTTGTATTGAGGGAGGAAGATCAGTAGTTCTTGTGACTGGAGCCATTGTTGATGTTGTTGTTGGAGCGACTATAGAAGGAGCTGGTGTGGGTGTTGGAGGAGTCTGAGCAATCGCTCGTGACTGAGTTATAGGAACCACTGTAACCTGCGGGGACACATTAGACAAATTCTCTGTAACATCATCTGCATTTGATGATACAGAGGTTAGTGCGTTAGGTAGTGAGAAAGGAAAAACGTATTCATGAAACGTAATGTGACGAGATGTATAAATACGATTTGTTGAACGATCTAAACAAAAATATGCACTTTGGGTAGTTGAATAACCAAGAAAAACACAAGAAGATGATCGTGAATCTAATTTGTTTGAAGCATAAGGACGAAGCCAAGGAAAACATAAGCAGCCAAAAATCCTTAGTTTTGAGTAGTTTGGAATTGTCTTGAAGAGACATCCAAACGGGGATTTCAGCGACAGAGTTTGAGTTGGCATCCGGTTTATCAAGTACACAGCCGTGGCTAAAGCATAAGTCCAATAAGACTTTGGCATGGACGCATGCGTCAATAGGGACAAGCCCGTTTCGACAATATTTCTGTGACGACGTTCTGCAATGCAATTATGCTCGGGAGTGTGCGGAAGGGTGGTGAAATGCGATATCCCATTGGTTGATAAATAAGTCGATAAAGCCATATATTCACCACAATTATCTGTGTACAGAGCTTTAAGCTTTGATTGAAATCTGTTTTCAACCAACTCTTTAAACCTAGTATAGATTTCATAAACCTGAGACTTTCTTTTCAAAGGATACAACCAAGTATACTTTGTAAAGTGGTCTTCAAAAATAATGTAATACTTAAATCCATCTACTGAAATCAAAGGCGAAGTCCAAACATCAGAAAAGACAATATTTAAAGGATGTGTAGAATGAATCGAAGGTAAACCAAAAGGAAGCTTATTCATTTTATTAATGGAACAAGCACAACTTTGAAATCATATTTTTAAGAATAGGTAAAGCAGGATGGCCCAAACGAGAATGCCAATCTGAAATAGAAGTCTTAATAGCCGAAGCAAAAGCAAGAGAAGGTGATTTTCTTGAGCGAACTTTTGGCCACTCATAAGTGTCGTTCTTAGGTTTACCTTCCATACGAAGTGCCCCTGTATCCAGATCCCTTACCTGGAAAAACGTTGGAGTAAATGTAATTGAAGCATTATTAGTATCACATAACTGAAAAACATAGATGAGATTCTTGTCTAACGAAGGAACATATAGAACATTATCAAGAAAGAAAGGACGTTAAATGAGGGTAAAGTTAAAGAACCAGAATGAGAGATGGAGAGCCCTGATCCGTCACCCAAGATGACATCGTCACCTCCATTGTATGGTGCATGGAGAGATAGATTAGCCAAATCTGATGTCATATGGTGGGATGCCCCAGAGTCAAGGAGCCAAGTGGAAGAGTCTCCAGTTACCATTGCTGCATTCGCTGTAGGATTCCATGGTTACTGAGGTGAAGCAGATGGTCTGTACTTATACACTAGATTGATATACAAGAATGGAAAGGGAAATATACGAGGCTTTATGACTGCAATCATCTTGCATAATGATAGCAATCATTCGATATTGAGGTATATGGTTTCTATATCTTATACCTCCAACAAACGTTTTTTAAGACCTCGTTTGTTCTTTTCGGTCATGGATTGATGTATTTCTCCTAGATACATAGTTTTCTGAACACATCTCTGCGCTGGTACACTTCCTTTCACCTTATTCTGAAACAAAGATTTTTATATACCGTGACTTTGGTATAAATACCCGCTTCTGAGTTGGTTTGGATTGTACGTGTAACAGCACCACCAAGCTTAAGGTTCAGTTTCAGTGTGTTCTCGCCTTCATTGCTCGGAGCAATGTGTGGCTGTGTTGAAGGTGGCATTAAAGTGAAACTTTGCAAGCTCCCTTTTATATCACGAGGTCGACGAATCAGAGAGCTTCTCCTTCTCTTATCCATAAATCCAGTTGAAGAAGAAACAGAGCCATCAGAGGCATCCATTATCTTCAGATTTTAGGACAAAACCAACTGCAGCAAAAGACATAACATAGTGACAAGAGTTAGTTAATACGGAATAGTAACTGAATAATAACAAGTTAACAACTGAAGATGTCAGACATTAAAACTTATGGAACTGTGAAACCAGAAAAACAACCCACCAAACAACTCCTCAGTTGATGCTTTAATTCGACAAGATATCCCAATCAAAGCATATCGTCATTAATTTCCATCACTTGATCAACGTGGAGATAGCGAGACAATTACTAACCATCTTTGTAAGCTTATCCGCCACGTCAACCATGCGAGACTCTTTCCGAGCAATATTATGAGCAGCATTGTTTCTACTAAAAGCATGCAATGGACGTCTTTGCGAAGAACCACCACATTATGTTTACAGGGCTTTCCCACTAAACTATAGATAGCCGAAATCATCTGATCCAACTTCAAATCAAACTTCCTACAGCTCATTTGTTGCAAAGAAAACTCAAACTTGCATTGAATATTTTAACACTTTGGATTTTGCCTACCACTTGACCACAGCTACGCGAGCACCATATAAAAAAAAATTTAGTTGAAACCTAAAGATTTTATATTATATGACTATGCTAAAACGTTGATATTACATGATTCTTGTATATGGAGTGTACAACGTTGTCCATTATTAGTCATGTAAAAATTCAATTCAGTATATAAAACCATTTTGCTTTGTATAATTTTTCAATACCTATAGTTTAACATTCATGCATATATATAAATGTAATTTTGTTTCACGAGAAATTAGTATCCACAGACACCTGAAGATAGGAGATAAGTTGATGTATGCATGAAATATCTCTGAGTTTTGTTACATCATAAACCCTAAAGCTTCCCCACCCCTCTTTTATATATGTTTCTGAAACAACTTGGAACATTTCAAACCCTTCCAAGGCCCAAATTTAAGACAAGAACACACGTCATTAATTCCCATCACTTGATCAACGTGGAGATAGCGAGACAATTACTAACCATCTTCGTAAGCTTATCTTCCACGTCAACCAACGGATTAACCTCACAGCCTCCTCAAAACCATATTACACGTTCCATAATCCGTCATCGCAGCGCTCAAGTTACTATTAACAGCAGCAACGTCACCATCCTTGACGGCGATAACAGCGTCCTCTAAATCGGAGACAGCCGCATCACCGCTTTGGTCGCGCTGATCGAAGCCTGAATCGCGAGAAAGAGTACAGAGGAAGCTTCTGGTTTAAATAAAGTCGTCAGCAGAAGACTTATAGAAGATTCACAAAGCATAGGGTTATCGGTTTTGCCACAAATGGATTTTATCTCAGGAGATAACAGTTGGTTGTTTCAAAAGATTAGGAGCTACCGAGGAAACAATAAGGATGCAGAAAAGATTTATGTTGAGATGAACATGAAACAGAGATCTTTGTATGAGAGCTTTGGATAAGAGTGAGAGAGAAGAGAAAGATAACACACAAACATTTAACGAGTTCAAGCCCATTAACGAGGGTCTACATCTCGCTGAGGCTATGCTCGAAATCCACTAGAACAAAGGGATTACAAGAGTTTACAAGTGATTATCCTAATATTTTTCACTAGCTAAGGAAACTACTCTGTAAAAACCCTTAGAAACTATCCAAGGCATAAGCCTTTACATTTTGTTTCTTTCACCCTTACGGTGCTTCTTGTGTGCTCTCACACCCTCACTTCGGCTCTACTTTCTCTCTCTCAGCCAATGCTTCTATTTATTGATGAAGCAGCCTTGGTTCTTGTGCAACTACAAAACGCCAAAAGCATCCTCCCTTACAATTATGATAAGGCCAAACGTAATAGAGACAAACAGTTATGCTTTGTGCTTAGTGCTATAGACAAATAGCAAAGCTTCTCTTTGTGGTCCAAAGTCTACTCCCCAAGTAAATCTTACCTTAACTTGAGTTCTTCTTTAGTTAGCATTTGAATATTGCTAAAACTTGCTCATCAAGTTCTTATCTTCACAATTATTATAGTAGTTCATTTTGATATCAGATAAATAGTATTTTCTATTTATTTATGAAAGCTTAATAATTATAGTTAGTTGACCAATATTATCAATGACTAAAATACAAAATTTTAAAAGATAAAATCGAAGGTCACCTTTGAAATAACACATTCTCAACTTCATATAAGGTTGTTATCCTTTTAAAATGAGGGTATTCAAAGGAGATGTTCTATCGTTTCATGCATCTTTTAAAAACATTTGTTTTCTTCAATAAAATCCCCAAGTCTTAAGAATAGCTATAAATCGTGTATTAGTTTTTGTTTGAACTTAAATCGTGTATTAGTTTGAAGTTGTAGTGTATTAAATCCGGATAGCTGGCATAATTTTCCATGGAACTAAATAAATTTGATCATCTAAAAATTCCATTCATTATTTGCTATGTGTTTGGATTGCTAACATTACGGTCCACCTTTAAGCTAAACATTGTTAGATATCTCATTAAAATTAATTACTAATTTTTTAATTACCTTAAATATAAATAATAGAATAGTCTTTTGATAAAAAAAACTTATAAAAACAGCATTTTGGGCTCTTTTTTAACAACTTTTAATCGCAAGTCAGCTTTATTAGATTATTAAAAAACATCTTCTACTCTGTTAAATTAGAGTCATTCTTTTTATCTACTGGGTACAAGTTGTCATTTAAATTTGGACCCTTTCTAAAATGTTACAAATAATATAAGTCATATAATTGAATGAACCGTATTACTTAATTAAACCAACACAATTAATGTAAAAAACGACCTTTATGTAAACTACCTTTAAAATACGGCAGATATCTATGTGTATACCGAAAACACATATTTTCTCCTACAAATATGATATGTTCTAAAAGAATATATATCATCAAAATATGGAATATGGAAATCTACTAATTATACTTAAATTAAAGCAGTGGTTATTTATGGAATATAGTCTTAGGCTTACTTTTATTTTTTGAACAAATTATATAGTTTGGTTTTTGGGTTTAGTATTAAGAAAAAACTCCAAAAAACATTGAATAAACTTTTCCCTGAAAAGATAAAAAAATCAATTATTATTTTCAGACCCAAAAAGTATTTAATACTAGGTGATTTTCCCGTGCTCATGCACGGACATAAATATTTATAAAATAAATATAATATCATAATTTGTTCATATTTACTTTAAATTTTAAATTAATTTATAATTTGTAGATATAATTTATATTAATAATATTATATTAATTTATTTATATATATATATAAATTTAGATATGTTATATTTCGTCAGTTTTATTGTTTTTACGGTTGATTTAATTATCATTTGGATATATTATATTCTATCTATTTCTTTGAATTCAGCTATAATCCTTTTTATACTAAATATATTAAATTTTTGATTAATTGTCGTATTTGCATTTATGCCGGTTGTTATCTTAAAATATAAGTATATATAGTAAGATTATGTATAAGTTATGATTTTTTATGATTAGAAAGCAAAATAAAAACTAAACTGTCTGATTCTAAATTACATACATAATTAACTAATAAAATTTTGAAAGCTTATGAACACATATCATTATTTACAATATTTAGATTGATTGGATGGTAAACTGAAATTTATTTTAAATAATTTTAAAAATAAGGATTCTGATTTGTTTGTATTTTAATTATGATTATATTAACTTCCACAAACAAAAAAACAGAAAATTAAAAATCAAAAGAGTTATTAAGAAAATATATAATTTTATATATTAAAATAAAATAGATCTACTTTGTTTTTTTTGTTAAATTATATAGTGTTATGATATTTTAAAATAATTTTTATTTGATGAAAAAATGTTTATTATTAAAGTCTATTTTTAGTTTTGTTTTAAATATCTCTTAAAATATGCAGTAAAAATGTTATTTTTTGAGAAATTATATTATATAAGTAAAATAGAATGTATATTTTTGCTGTAATTTTAAGATATTATAGTTAAATAAATATACTAAAGATAAAAAATATATTTCAAGAATACTAATTATAAAACAATTTTCAATTAAACATATATCAGTTTATGTTACTTAATTATTTTATGTATTTATCTATATATACCAAAAAAATAATTACTTTGAAAATATATTTATTTATTTTAAAGAAAAAAATAAAAAGAAAAAAAAAATATTTCTTTTTCTAATATCAAGATTAGTTGTGTGAATTTTTTTTTTATGGAATCACATTATATACAAATATTGTTTTTCATCTAAGAAGATATTGATATAAAGTATTTTATTACTTCAAAAGTATATTTTATGTTATTTAAGATATATTTAAATTAAATATTACTATTTTTTGAACTTTCTTTTTTTATGAAACCATATTTACAAATACTTATATTTTCGTTTTTAAATAATTTGGTAAACTTTATAAATGTTTCCTTTTTATTTTACATTATTATTTGGAAAAATGTTAAAAGGAAATAATAATATTTAAATGTATATTTTTAATTCGTTAAGGGTATCATAGTAATCAACCAGCATGAGATTAATGTGAACGCGACACATAAGAAAATGACTTCTCAAATAATATTATAGAGATATTTAACAAAACAAAATTATCTATTATTAATGATTTATTTAAATCATGTACTTTAAAACATGTTAATAGATTTTTTTATTTTAAATAACAATCACTTTGTTTTGATAAATTTCAATAGTAACTTTTAAATAATTTATTGTTTTATTTTTCTTAAATAATATACTGATTAAAAAAATGTAAAGCAAAACCAAATACCAAATCTAAAAACTAAAATCCAAAACCAAAAGCTGAAAACACATGTTATATTTTTTGCTTTGTTTATTTACAAAATAAACTATTTCAATTTTTTTTTTAAAAATTGTTGTCATCTTTTCAGTTTTAAATTAGATGTTCGATTATTTGAGATTTGTTTGTTGGTAATATCAGTTCAAACTAACTTTAAAAATTAAAACCCTAAACCAAAAACTGAAAATGAAAAGTAGAAACTTAAAAACTAAAAACCAAAAACCAAAAACCAAATTCAAAAAATAAAAACTAAAACTAAAAACTAATGAAAAACAATCATCACCACAAATTTTGGTGAACTGATTTTATATCAAAATATTCTTTAAATTAAGACAAAACCCAATTATATAAATTTTTAATCATAAAAATTTCCGCGCTTTTCAAGTGCGGGTCAAAATCTAGTATATATTAAAACAGAAGACATAACTTCATCTGTGATTTTTTTTTTAAAAAATAGACTATTACTAAAAAAGTCATGTTACATCAATTCTCTAAAAATTTTATCATTATTATATCTTATGAAAATTTTATATCTATAATAACAAAGATGCGCTTAACAATTTGATTTGGGTAAATTATCCACACCTTCTAACTTAGTCACGCAAAATATGTCAATAGATATAAGTTTAGGAATCTTCTATTATTTATAAGGAAATATGTCAATAATAGTTAAATGTATCCACAATATATTAACAAAAATCACGGATTCGTAATATGGAATATTTCTATACCCTAACAAAATTTACACGCTATATATACTAGATAAATTTATTTCGATGTAAATTTTTAAAATTATATTGTTTTTAAAAAAATGCTTAAAAAATTCTTTATAATACTAATTTATGCAGCTACAAGTTTAGTTTTTAACAAAAATTTCTTCGAAGTTTATATTATCTTTGCAAATTAAAGCATACTAATATTTAATCAAGCTCTATTTATATTACTTTATTTAAAAATGAAATACTAATCTAACAAACAATAAAATATAGAAGAAGAAACAAACAAAGCTCTATTTATATTACTTTATTTAAAAATGAAATACTAATCTAACAAACAATAAAATATAGAAGAAGAAACAAACACATGTTTGAAAAACATGTATAATATAGAAAATTTGAAACAATCTATTTGATTAAAACACATATTATATAATATTATTATGTTTGAAGAACATTTACTATACACATCGTAAATATATTATAACTAGGTGATTTTCCCGTGCTCATGCACGGATATGAATATTCATAAAAGTAAAATTTTATAATAATTGATTGATATTTAATTTTAGTTTTTGAATCAATTTATATGTACAATTTATATTAATAAATATTATACTATTCTAATTATACATATGACTTTGGATATATTATTGTCGGTTTAGTTACTTTTTGGATCAATAGTAGGTTTGGTTATCAATTCGGTATATTTGATAATATCTATTTTTTCGAATTCATCTATAATATTTTGTATTCTAAATATAATAAAATTTTGATTAATTTTCCTATTTTAATTTCGGTAGGTTATTGTATTTAGATATGTAAATATATTTTTTGCCCAAAAAAAAGATATGTAAATATATTCTTCGAAATGTAAATATATTATAGTTAAATTATCTATAACTTAATATATATTGTGCTTATAATGAAATAAATAATAAGCTGCAGTGTTTGATTCAAAATTACATAAACGAATATAATGATAAATATTTTGAAATCTCATGCATATATATAAATGCTAAAAATAATTAAATTGTAATGGGTTAATATTTCTTTTTCTTTTGAATATGCTTATATGTATAAACTTAAATAGATTATTATTATTACTATTATTTTTATAAAATTATATGTTCTTATTGTAGTTAGATGTCTAATTTTGGATATAAATTAGATTAGCCGAGTCATTCATTTTGTGAGTATATTGAGTTAAACTTATTTTTAAATTAAAATTGAAATATAGTTATTTTTATTTTAGTTAAGTCAAATCAAGTTAGTTTTATTTATTGCTGAAATATACATGTATTTTCATAATATTTATTTACTATTTATTTTAGTTAAATCAAATCAAATTATTTTTATTTATCACTTAAATATACATGTATTTTCATAATATTTATCAAATTATATGTTTATTTCTAAAAAATATTAGAAAAT